TTGACACAAAAGAGATCTTCTTCTTCCCAAAACTTCCCTCAAGACGAGCCTTAAATCCGATGGTACTGAGGTGCAAGCTCGTCGGAGCAACCGTGTGGAACCCCCTCCACACTTCCTTGAAATCCCCTCCAAAGATCTTCTCCCTCTCTCAAACTCCACCCTTTTCTCTCTCCCTTTCAATCTCTCTCTTCAAGTTTCCTCCAGCAGAACGAAGCTTCAATGGTTGCCAAAGACCCATACTACATGCCTTATCAAAGTTTAAATAGAAGAGCTCTAAACAAGCTCATTAATTGCAACTTGTCGACTTTATCATCCAAGACGATATGAATATCATCCTATATTATTAGTGCAAATTAAGCTCATTAGTCAAGATGATTTGTGATGATTAGTTCAAATTAACACATATCATTCAAAGTATCGCCCTAAATAGAAGCTGTTCGATATGTGATCGTCTAGGAACAACTAAGATTTTTGAACTGATCTTCTTGGCCTATCCTGTGATCGTCCAGGACAATGTGATTGTATCAATCAAGCCTTAATTTATTTTCTTAATTATCAGATTAATTTAGGCATAATTATGTTACATCATCCAGGATGATGTCCAAAAATAAATAATGCTTAAATAGATAATTCGGCTGATTCTTTTTTATTTGAGCCTATTATCTTAGCCGATACAAATATCGTCTAGGACGATGATCTTAAAGATGGCTGCCTTAACTAGGATGCCCTAATCAGGGTTTTTAATTTCAGCTGATCGTCTAGGCCGATGTTTGGATCGTTCCGGACGATATAACCAAAAACAGAGAACTCTAAAATAGAAATAAGTGAGCAAGATTACAAGCATGCAAACACCCTTACAAACCAAGAAATACATTAATGAAAATTACAAATAGAACATGTTCTGCCAACACTTGAGCCTTGTTGGGTGTACTGTAATCCTGAAATATTAGTAAATATAGAAGGAAAAATATATTGCAAATACAGGTAGACAACAGAAAGTGAGCCATAATATTTGTTATTATCAAAATTATAAACTCATAGGCTCGAGTTGCAATAATCTCTCCCTTTTTTATGATAACAAATAATACAAGTTGGATTTGTAAAAAAGAAAAAAATAGTTTCTCCTTATAATTAAACTCTCCCTTACTATAATAAAACTTTAAAATTAGGGGAAGATAAAGTTTTTGTTGTTTTTAATTAAAAAAAAGATACAAATACAACAGTAGATATTATCAAAAAGAAGAGGGGCATAAATAATCGATTAAAAAACAAAACGATCCTTGATATAGTGAAAACAAAAATAAAATATTCTTAAAATAAGAAAGTTACATCTTGATTTTATTTAAAAACTTAGTAAGAAATGCATTGACAACGCATAACCTAGAAAGGTTAGAAATTCAGAAATCATTAATCATTCTTTTAAAGGCTTAAAAACTCTTTAATCCAATGTCTAAATCAGAAATAAATTAGAAAAAAACACTTAATTTTTCAAAACTCCTTTCATAAAACATATCTAATAGAAGATCAATACAAAAAATTGGTAAATCAGGAATCATGATTTTTAAGCTCAAGTATTAAAAATATAAAGGGTTTTCTTAAGCTTTAAGAAGTACAAGAAAGGTAAGCATTACTTTTTGTGGGCTCATTTTATGTCTCTTGTTAGTTTTTTGATGCACTTTGCACATCTTTTAATTTTTGATATACTTTGTATATCTTTCTCAATTTTGGCATTATTGCGTATATTTTGATTTGGCATCATTGGTTATTTTTTTTAATGCTACATTTCTAAAATTTTAAAAATAAAAGTAAACTCATTCTATTGACAAAACAAACTAATTGATTAAGAAAATTATGAGGTATATTCAATAACTTGTAAAAGATCCCTATGTGATATATAAAATATAAGGAGATGAAAAAGATCAGTTTCAAAATCCAATTTATAATATGATGATAATTTTGAATCAAAAGTAAAAAAACCTCTTTACAAAAAGAGATACAGAGACAAAATTATGAGTTTCATTACTTTGACTATTTTTAAAGAAGTCAATCACAACTTACATAAGAATTAAAAAAAATAGGAGGTAGGTTTTTTGTTTTTAGAAAGATAAAATGTGTGTGTTGATCAGAGAGAATTTCACAAAAAGAAAAGTAAAAATAAATTTAAAATTATAACATAAAAGAAAAGGAACAAAAAATAAATAAATAAATAAATAAGCTTAAAGAAAACATAGAAAATAACCGAAATACAACGAACAAAAACATGCACACATAAACAAATAAACACGCAAATAAGGTTTAAGTATAATCTTGCTCCTGATCTGATAATTCAGAAGCAAGGTCTGCCTAGGAGATTTTTTGCTTTTCATTATTTGCCCTTTTTACAATTTGCTTAGCTTTACCCTTTTTTGTAGGAAGAGTTTTCAAATTAGGGCACTGATTTTTTATATGTTTAGGCTTCCTACATTCAAAGCAAACAACATCAGAAGAAATCTTAATATTCTTATAATTTCTACATTTATTCCACTTTTGTTAATGCTTAAGCTTTGGTGAGCTTTTTAATTTGCTTGAGAAGTCATCGCTTTTGTCACCAACTAAGTCACTTTTCTCCATATTTTTAGCATTCAGCATTCAGCATTATCAAATTAGGGCACTGATTTTTTATATGTTTAGGCTTCCTACATTCAAAGCAAACAACATCAGAAGAAATCTTAATATTCTTATAATTTCAACATTTATTCCACTTTTGTTAATGCTTATGCTTTGGTGAGCTTTTTAATTTGCTTGAGAAGTCCTCGCTTTTGTCACCAACTAAGTCACTTTTCTCCATATTTTCAGCATTCAGCATTATCATCTCTCATACATCCAAAAGTCTTTGGCCCAAACTTTGCTCGTTGGCAATGAGTTAGCCAGTCAAATTATCAATATAATATTAATTCAATTTTTTTTATTCACAAAAAGAAATAACTTTGGCATCAATCTTATCAAGTAGACAATGTAGAATTTTATTGACTTTTTCAAAGTTTGAAAATTATTTACCTAAAGGATGCAATGATGTCACAATTTGAATAATCCTAGTATACATATTTAAGATTGTCTCATAAAATTTCATGCAAAATAATTCATAATCCTGCATTAAAGTATTCAATATGGATTGCTTGATTTCATTAGTGTCTTCATATTTAGTGTGTAATTTATCCCAAATTTCCTTGCCAGTAGAGCACGTTGATATAAACATAAAATCATCAGAATTTAAAGCACAAAAAAAAAAGTTTAATGGTTTAACATTTAATTGAACATTGATTTATTCTTCCCTACTCCATTGATTAAAATGAGTATCAGTTTTAATTCCATCTATAACACGTGACGGTACAGAATAACCAGTTAAAATCATTTGCCACATTCAGAAATCAATTAATTACAAGAAAGTAGACATGCAAATTTTAGTAATGTGGTAAGCAAGTTGGGTATGAGAATGAATATACCACTGAGCATTTACGCATTATGAGAATAGCATAGAATCCATTGATAGATTTAACTATCTCTTTGACTTAGGAGAAAGATATAATTGATAATTTATGGTTAATTTTGAATCTAAGAGGATGTTAGATTCAAATTTGTTCGTGGATGACACCAGACCCTAGTAGTAGGCAAACTTTGAAAAGAGTGAATGCAACCTATGTATGAATGGAGAGAAAGAAGAAATACTAGATAAAAGCTGTAATAGAAGTGCTCATTTAATCAATCTAGAAATTTAAGAGATACAAATGTTGGGAAATGCTCCCCATCAGCCCTGACTTATAGGGTTCTGAGAGCAACATGAAATGCTACACCCAAAAAAAAATACAATGATACAAAGACTACCCCAAACAAGTTTAGCCTCTTGATTGGTTGAGGGAGAGCAGCAGGTTGCAAAGCTGTGATGATCTATCTTTAAGAGAGCATATTAATGTCTTGTGTGCACTATGTAAATTTATATTGAGGGAGAGCTTGGTAGAGTTGAATAGGAGTGGGTAAGTTTGCAAGCGAGTTCAATGTGAGGGGTGCTTATTGGCTGAGTGATGTATGGGATACACTAGCAACCCATATTGAGCTTGGATCGCCTAAAAGAGAAGGCGAATGATCTCAGGCTATGGAGAAGATTAACTCAATTGTCGGTTCCTCATGGTAGGGAAAGCTGAGGGAACTCTAGATAGGAGCTTTCTTTAGCTACTCTTGGATGTGTAGGGATAAAGTCACCCACCCATGGCGGGGAGAAGTCGTTATTAAGACTGCCTTCCTTCTATGAGGCGAGTTTCAAGTCTTTTGGTTGATGAGGTCTTACATTGCCCTTGAGAGGGGTGACATTCCGTTGTAGGCTCAGGCAAGTGGACCCTGAAGTTCATTGTAAAAGTTTGTTTGTCCGGCCCATGAAATGCGAGTTCTCTCCTTTTACCTACCTGCTAAATGTTTGTAAAGACATATGTGAGTATACAATATGTAATTTATATCCTATGGTTAGTTATTGTAACTTTTACTATCAATAAATATCTTTCAAATTTTAATATAAATGTTACAATTTTTTTTTCAATAGGATTAGTAGGAAAATTAAATTTATGATAATAAATATATATATATATATATATATATATATAGGATAATTAATATTTATATCCAGAAAACAGTGAGAAAAGCATTATCCTTCAAATAATTTTATACTAAAAATATATTTTGTTTTTTCAAATCAAAATCACAATTGCTATTTCGTCATTGCTGTTTTGCTGCTTTTAAAATATTTTGTATTAAAAATTTATTTTCTACAATATAAAAAAATATTATAGTAACAATGTGTCAAAAATGAATTCTTAATGGTACCTAAGATTTTTCTTAATATCTTATTATCTTAATTTTCAACCGCAGCTGGAACGCATCTCAAGCCACACTAATGGCGTGCTTAGGGCAATCTTATTTTCTTCTTACATATATAACTCAAAAGACCCTAAAATGAAAAAGTGCAGAAAGAGGACACATGGCCGTAGCTCCCGGCCTTCTTTGGTTGCAACTTGCAACTCAAGCAAAATTTTCCTCCTCTTCACGCTTCTCTCACATGGTGAACACCTCTATATTCTCTCTCCTTTCGCTCTTCCCCCGATCCTCTTCAGTTTAGCTTTATCTTCGATGGTTGACATGCTCTCCTCCCCACATTGCTTCCTCTTCCTCTCTCAAAGAGCAACGTTGTTTCTTCTCATTACCACACACTGCTCTCTTTCTCTCTCCGTTTCTCTGTATCATCGGAGCTCCTCTCTGTGTATTGGAACTCTATATGGAAAGAGGTTTAATAAGCTCACTATAACAAGAAAAAGGAAGATTCAAAAGGCCCATTCTCTATAAGAAGTTCATAGGGACATTTCTAGTCTCTATTCCTCATTTTCTTCTTCTCTTTGCTTCCCTTTCATTCTCCCATTTTCTCTGTGAATTTCATCACGCTTCTCTGTCTCTGTCAAAAAATCGAAATTCCACAGGAAGACTCTATGAGCTTAGTATAATAAGATGACGAAAACTCCATTTTTGCTTCGGTTTCTCCTTAATGTCTTCTTCTTTATCCCAAGCTCCTCTCTCTCCCCTGATGGCGAAGCCCTTCTCTCCCTCTTACCTTCACTCCCCTCTCCTCTCCTCCCTTCATGGTCCCCATCCTCCTCCAACCCTTGCTCATGGCAAGGTATCACTTGCTCCCCATCCAGCAAAGTCATTTCCCTCTCCCTCCCTAACACCTTCCTCAACCTCACTTCCCTTCCGTCCTCCCTCTCTTCTCTCACGTCTCTCCAACTCCTTAATCTCTCTTCCTCCAACATCTCGGGCCTTATCCCCCATTCCCTTTCCTCTCTCTCCTCCCTACGCATCCTCGACCTCTCCTCCAACTCCTTCACCGGCCCCATCCCTTATTCCTTGTGCAATCTTTCCTCTGTCCAAATCCTCTTCCTTCATGACAATCTCCTAACCGGCTCTGTTCCTTTTCAATTTGGTTCATTAGTTTCTCTTCAGCAATTTCGAATTGGAGGTAACCCTTTTATTAACGGTCAAATTCCGCCCCAGCTTGGCCTATTGACCAACCTCACCACATTTGGCGCAGCCGCCACAGGTTTATCTGGTCCTATTCCGCTTGAGATTGGAAATCTCATTAATTTGGAAACTTTGGCTTTGTATGACACCGACATCTCTGGCTCTATTCCGCCAGAGCTTGGTTCATGCTCGGAGCTGAGCAATCTATATCTTCACATGAACAAGCTTACTGGATCAATACCGTCAGAATTTGGTAAGTTGCAGAAGCTCTCTAACTTGCTGTTGTGGGGAAATTCTATTACGGGAAAAATTCCATGGGAGATTTCAAATTGCTCCAAGCTGGTTGTGCTTGATTTGTCCGCTAATAAGTTTCATGGAGATGTTCCTGTTAAGCTTGGGAGGCTGGCTGCATTGGAACAGCTTCATTTATCTGACAATGTTCTTAGTGGTTCAATTCCTGCTGAGATTAGTAATTGCAGTAGCTTGACTGCTCTTCAGCTTGATAAGAATTATTTTTCTGGTTCGATTCCTGAGGAAATTGGAAATCTCAAGCTTCTGCAGAGTTTGTTCTTATGGGGTAATTCAATTTCAGGTAGCATTCCTCAATCATTTTGTAATTGTTCTGAGCTTTACGCTCTCGATCTTTCAAAGAACAAGCTCACGGGGAGAGTTCCTGATGAGATCTTTAGCCTCAAGAAGCTCGGAAAGCTGCTGCTTCTTGGGAATTCATTGACTGGTGCGATACCAAAGGGTATTGGAAACTGTCAGTCACTTGTGAGATTGAGGCTTAGTGAAAACCAACTCTCAGGAGAAATTCCTAAAGATATTGGTAAGCTGCAGAATCTTGTCTTCCTAGATCTTTACAGTAACCATTTTTCTGGAAGATTGCCTGTTGATATTGCGAACATTTCAGTTTTAGAGCTTTTTGATGTGCACAACAATAATATCACAGGAGAAATACCAACCCAGCTTTGGAAGCTGATGAATCTAGAGCAGCTTGATCTGAGTCAAAATGGCTTCACAAGAGAAATTCCTTCAAGTTTTGGCAATTTCAGTTGCATCAGCAAGCTTATACTGAACAATAACTTTCTTACCGGTTGCCTTCCAACCTCAATCATGAAATTGCAGAAGCTTACATTGCTTGATTTGAGTTGTAACAGTCTTTCTGGGCAAATTCCTCCTGAAATAGGTTCATTGACAAGCTTGACAATTAGTCTGGATTTGAGTTCAAATAGATTTGTAGGGCAGATTCCAGAGGAAATGCAAAGTTTGATTCAGTTGCAGTCATTAGATCTCTCAAGCAACATGCTTGATGGTGGAATTGATGTCTTGGCGATGCTAACTAGTCTAACTTCATTAAACATTTCATTCAACAATTTCTCGGGTCCAATTCCAGTTACTCCATTCTTCAGAACTCTTTCTGAAAATTCATATCTTCAAAACCCGAACCTATGCCAATCTTTTGATGGTTACACTTGTTCTTCTGATCTTCTCCGCAAATCTGCTTTCAGATCTATAAAGAATGTGGCTATTGTTTGTTCAGTTGTGGGATCAGCGGTAACGCTACTGCTTGTCGCATGGATTATTATGAGTAAAAATCGAAAGCTTGCAGAGGAGAAAGCCATTTCATTCACATCTTCATCGGGTGATGACTTCTCATATCCTTGGACATTCATACCATTCCAGAAGCAGAACATCAACATTGACAACATTCTGGAATGCCTCAAAGAGGAGAATGTTATTGGTAAAGGCTGTTCCGGGATTGTTTACAAAGCTGAGATGCCAAATGGAGAGCTCGTTGCCGTTAAGAAGCTATGGAGATCGAAGGAGGACGAGCGGGTAGATGCATTTTATTCGGAGATTCAAATCTTGGGAAATATCAGGCACAGGAATATAGTCAAGCTCCTTGGTTACTGCTCTAATAAGTCTATGAATTTGCTTTTATACAATTATATACCAAATGGAAATCTGCGAGAGCTTTTGCAGGATAGTTGGAATCTGGATTGGGAGACTAGGTATAAGATTGCTGTTGGAGCTGCTCAAGGATTGGCTTATCTTCATCATGATTGCATCCCTGCAATCCTTCATAGGGATGTCAAGTGCAATAATATTTTACTGGATTCGAAGTTTGAGCCTTATTTAGCAGATTTTGGATTGGCAAAGCTGATGAATTCAACAAATTTTCAACTTGCAAGGACAAGGATTGCAGGATCGTATGGCTACATAGCACCAGGCAAGCCATTGTTTTTCATTTCTTGTCTTTAAATTTGTTAATGATATATTGAATTGGAGATAGTGATGCCAATATATGATTTTACTAGTTATCATTTAAAGGGTATGCTTAAATATCTGGGATTTAATATACCTGATATATCATAAAAAATATTATTCATGATCGGGAACGAATATCGAGACAAATTTGAGTTGGAAAATTCTTAAATTAAATTTGGGACCATCAGAACTCAAGTTTTAGCAAACTTATAATCGAATTGAACATCTCGAAAAGACGAACCCAACGACATCAAATTCGACTAGATCCGAGCCCAAATGGGTCCTAATCGAAGATCTGAAGCGCATTTGGAAGGTTCTAACCTTATATTAGATGACCAAATGGTTTCCAAATGTGACTTACTTATAATTGAATAAAGCGGCTCATCGTGATGATTTCAAATGCTTTTGGATGGTTAAGACACTCAAATATTTGATAAATGGTCCACGATCAAGGAAGTCAATATCGTCCATTCATTCAAAATGCTCCCAAGATGCCTTTAATCTTCTCCCTATTTATTAACCATGTCACTCCCAAAAAATTATAAATAAATATGTGATTCTTCATTGAGGGAAGACCAAACAAGGAAGATATAGAAGAGAGGGAAAAAAGAGAAATTAGAGTTATGTTGCCACCAGAGTCATCCACCACCGCCCTTGCCATTGATCCTTGCCAGACTTTCGCCCAGCAACCAACTGTCATTAGAGTTTTGCCGAACTTCCGCCCTGCCATCGACCATCATCAGACTTCCGTCTGACACTTATTCTTTGCTAGATTTCAACCTAACGGTTAATTATTGTAATCTAATCGTCCTCAACTTCAAGGACGAATTAACGCATTGTAATTCACTAGAATTTAGTAGAATCATTTCAATTGGGCATGGCCCCATAAATTTTCCCTTTTTTTAGTGTTGTTTCACATAAAACTTTTAGTTTTTACTATTTTCTATTTATGTGCAAAATATTCATGGAATATGAAGATTAAAAATTTCTTCACTCTACTGACACATATTTTCTTGTCCACATTAGTTTGAAGTCGTCTTTTTTTTTTTTGAAGGAATGCCGAAGCAAATTTTATTAAAAGAAAAACTAATTACACCCAACCAATATCATCATATTCCTCCTTTAAAACTCTTAAAAACGGAGGAATATTACACATAGCAATATCATCCCAAAAAAAATCAAAATTTAAAGTAATGTTAGCACACAAACCAGCTAACTTATTACAACCTCTATCAACCCAATTAAACATAAGCAAATTGAAATCTTTCAAACCATAAGGTACCTTATTGCGGTCATCCACAGCTTCATGAAGATTGTAACATTTTTGTAGATGTTTGACAACATTTGCATTATCTCCTTCAACTATAATACCTTTGTACTCAAACATCCACTTTTGTAAGTACCGGTTGAGGGATTGAACAGCAATTAAATCGAGTTGATTCACATCCCAATGAATCCCATTGAAACCGAAAGCACATAAAAACCTCCCTTTATTATCTCTGAAAACTCCTCCAATGGAAGCCTTGTATGAAGATAACAAACGCACGTCCACATTCACTTTTATCCAGTCAGGAGGTGGAGGATGCCAAGCATTTTGAAACAGTCCATTAGACTGATTAGCATCCCAGATTCCTGATGAGTAATTAATGAGAGCTGAATTTGTTGAAATAGAAGACAATGTAATAGTATTAGAAGCAATCAACACTTTACTGTCTTCACCATCACCATAAACTCCTTTGCCTCTAGATTTCCAAGATAAGAAAACCAACATGCAATACATATTTCCCAACACAATATGCTTAGAAACACATTGATTCAGCCAAATACAACATTCATCAAACCTATCAAAGACAGGGATAGCAAATCCCCATTTGTTAAGAATTTGAATAATCTATTTTAATTTTGAACATCCCACCACAACATGTTCATAGTCTTCAGTCTTCAAGAAGCCTCTCGGACATAAATCAGATTCAATCAAATCTTCTATGGAGAAGATATTTGAAAGTAGGAATTACCTTGTGGTAAATCCTCCACCAGAAGTTCTCAACCCGGGAATTCAATTTAAGTTTTTTAATCCAACTCCAATACATATTGGAAGAATCTTTACAGATCATAGCATTAGAAGCAAGGTAAGAAATGGTATTCCAAGACATTTGTTTTATCAATTCCACCTGATCACCTTGTTCAAAAGAATGAATACTAATTCTGTTAATTAGTTGAACCAATTCTTCACCGAAATTTATTCTCAGAATATCCAGACTCCAATGACCATTTGTAATAAAATTTTCTACTAGCATATCAGGTTCCAGCAAAACAGAAACAAAAGTAGGCCACATCATGATAGTTTTATCAAGAATCCAAGTGTCTTTTAACACATTTACTGATCTCCCATCCACAATTCGCCATCTAGTAATTTTATCAAGAGCTTTGGCACCATCTGTTAGAATTTTCCAAGAACCAGACTTCTTTCTAACAGAATTTGAAGTGGCCAAACCCTATTTTAATGACAGAATTTGATGCAGCAAACAATCTCTGTCATTTAAATAATTCCAAGTCAACTTAGCTCTTACCGGGCCAATAGATTTTGAACAAGAATGAATACCTCTCCCGCCAAATTAAATTGGTTTACACAAAACATCCCAATTGACATAATGAATACCTTCTCTACCATCTTGTTTATGCCAAATGAATGTCCTACAAACTTATCAAAATCAGCAAGAATGCTTTTAGGAACAAGAGCATGAGTCAATTGAAAGAGTTATCTTTCCTTGCAAAGGCAGAAACTTGTTTCCCCAAATATTGATTTCTCCAATGATTTATCCAATAGACCATGGAAATCAGCACGAACTAACCTTCTCAAGGCAATCTTCACACCCAAATAAGTAATCTCCTTCACCATTTTAAGTCCCATAATCCGAGCAATGCTTCTCTTTTTCTTCTTCTTAACTGCTTTACCAAAGAGAATTACAGATTTATTGTAATTTATATGCTGTCCCGTCAACTCACAAAAATCCACCACTATTCTTTTAACCTCTTTATCCATCTTAATACTGGCTTCAGAGAAAATAATAATATCATCTGCATAAAGGAAATGAGAAATTCTAGGAATACTAGAATGAATTTTGATTCCCACCAGGTCTCCTTTATTAATCAAAGTATTAGAAATCAATTGAGAACATAAAATGAATAAAAACGGTGAGAGTGGACATCCCTGACGAAATCCACTCCTAGCCGTTATCCAATTAGAATAATTGTCATTAATCAAAACAGAGAACTTAGCACCCACCACACAATCCATGATTAGCTTTGAGAATTTACAAGGAAAACCAAAGTACCTTAAGACTTGCTCCAATGCCGGCCAACCCATGCTATCGTAAGCTTGTTCCATATCAATCTTGAATGAAACCAACCCTTTTGAAGTTTTTGAAAACCTGAATCTGTGAAACATTTCATGAGCCATGAGAATATGTTGAGAAATTGACCTTCCCTTCAAGAAAGCAACTTGTTCATTGGAAATGCGATTATGAAACAATCCCTGCATTCTATTTAATAGAATTTTTGCAATCAGTTTATAAATTGATTTGCATAAACTGATCGGTCTGTAGTGTGACGACAAAGCAGGATTTTCAATTTTCGGAATAAGCACTAATACAGTCTCTTTCCATCCAGGGTTTATGGCACCCGTAGAAAATACATGTTGAACAACATTCCAAGTATCACACTTAATGATGGACCAATAGTTCTTCAAGAAGGAATAAGATATGCCATCTATTCCCGGAGATTTAAACCCCTTTAAACCTTTAACAGCTTCAGTAAGCTCTTCCACCGTGAGTTCAGTTTCCAAATTCTTACTATCCTTTATATCCAGGACAGATAAACTAGGTGGCCAATCTTCTAATTTGCATTCTCTCACCCGCCATTTATGACTGAAATAATCAACAAAAATGTTCTCAATCAGCTTTTGATCTTCAACTTCAATTCCTTCTTCATTTTTGATTTTAGAAATCCAATTTATGTTTCTTCTTCCATTGGCATAAGACTAAAAAAATCTAGTAATTTTATCTCCATTCTTCTCCCAATTGATTTTTGTTCTCTGTCTCCACCAGGTATTCAACCGTGCCAAAATACTATTAAGCTCATTCACCTTAGATCTTAAAAGCAAGATCTTATCATCAGAAAGAAAACCAACAGATGCTTCGTCCATTTGTAAATCATAAATTTCCTTCTTAAGACTTTCCTTCAATTCATTGAGATCTTTGATTTTTGCTTTACTCCAAAAGTGTAAGGCTTTCAAGGATTTACTAAACTTGTTATTACGAATTTCAGCAAAAGAACCACAACTTATTTTGTTCCAAGCTTTGCGAACAATAGAGGTAGAAGCCGGATAAGATGACCAGTAATCTTCAAATTTAATAATTTTCTGAGTTTTAGGAATGCTGCTCCCAAGATTAAGCAAGATAGGACAATGATCAAATGCAATCCTAGGAAGATGCCGTACCACCATCAACTGGGAAGAGCTAATAGCTGCAAAATTCAAATAACATATATCAAATCTCTCCAAAATACGAGCTCCACCCACCTTGTTATTGCACCAAGTAAATCTAGGACCCAGAAAACTGGCTTCATGATAATCATTCTTGATCAAAAAATCTTTCATATCCTTAGCACCTTGAGAAAATAAAAATCTCTTACCACCCTTCTTATCTTCTTTGGCCAATAAGCAATTATAATCTCCACCAATAATTGAAGGAATATCCTTGGAAGAATACAATTCAATATCCCTCCAAAGATCTCTCCTCCCAACCACCTCCTTGTGCCCATACACGGTAGAAATTCTCCAAATCCCCTTCTTTAATATATTTAAGTCCCCAATAATACATTGGGAAGATGATTTACATAAAGAAAAGGAAGCAAGATTGGATTTCGAAACAACCAAAATACCACCAGATAATCCATTAGAAG